ACACACACACACACACACACACACACACACACACACACACACACAAACCCGAAAAACAAAAACATGAGAGGCCAAGTACTGACTATCATAGCTATTGTTTTCTATTTCCCCTTAATTTCTGGCTAGAAAGATATTTCAACATTGGGCATCATCTTTAAACCTGCCTCACAGGTCAAAATGTACAACTGGTTCACACACAATCAAGGAAGTTTAATGCTGGTGACGTCAGCCCCAGGGAAGGGACCAGCTTTGAAAGAATACTTTTCCTTGGACAGGTGTTACAATGACGCCACAGCAAGAGCGAACCAGGGAAAATCTTTATGTTTCCTGGCATGAGTTATATCAGACAAAGCATTGCTCTTGACCACATCCCAGCTAAGCAGGCGGGGTTTGTTCTGTTGTTAACACCGCCTGTTGCACTTGAGTAAAACAGCTCTGGTAAAACGCAGATGGCGCTAGATCAGCTCGAGGCACAAGCCAACCGGCTGACACCTCGCGGCTCTCTACAGTCTCCAGCTGCCGGCCTCAGGCACTGCTGACTGGTTCACATCTGTTCTTCACACTGGACTTAGCATTTTGCTTGTTATTATAAAATTTTTGCTGTTATAAACCTTTGTTTTGCACAGCTTGGTGTTATAAAGACACCGCTCTGACAATGGTTGCTTAGCGTTTTGAGATGATCTGCGAGGCCCACGAGACTTCATGCGAGAAACCTCCAGAAACTACAGAAGGTGTTTGCCCTGAAGGAAACACAGTGGCAAAGCCTTCTTCTGTGCTGGTGCTCCTGCTGCTCCAAGGTGGCCGAAAACCTCTAGGAAACCACTTTCTCTCCTACGTGGGGCATGCCACACCCAGAATGAGCCTTCTGGGTGACAAGGGACCCACAATGGGATGACAGACCCAAAATGAGCCACCTGACAATGGAGGACTAACTATGCTTTTATCAACCGATTAGTGCTGCTTTCCAATAATTGATCAGCCATGCTTTCAAGGAAACAGCTTGGTCAAAAGGAGGAAAATGTAAAAACAATATAAACAGAGACACTTTAATGGGGAGTCAGAGCTCCACGCCAGAGGACCGGCCTGGACATGTCTTAGGCCTCAAGCCTTGGAATGTTAGGGCAGGGCAAAAATCACCTTTAGACAGGGCCGAAAGCCACAACATGTTCCAGAGAACTGTTTGCAGAAATAACAAGAAAGCAGGTGTCGTGACTGCCGGACTGATGGCTGCTGGACTGAAAATTAAAAACATTGTTTAGAACTAGCATCACTATGTTATGTTACCTGCACCAACAGCAGTGCTTCCTTCTAAGGATGGCATCGCCCCCCCCCCCTTTCTCATCGCCCTTGTCTCCTCATGAGAACACTATTTGGGCTTCTGCCTGAATCAGGGCTTCCTGAATAGCTGTTATTATTGATCTCAAATAAACCCTTGTTGCCTCTTATTTTGAAAGGCCTTTTATTTTTAGGTGAACAGGAGATTTTGGCCAAAGCAGGAGCAGTGGGGAAGCAGTGTGGGGGGTGGGAGCTGCGGGAACTAGGGTGCTGCCCTCGAACCTCCAAGGGGATGTTAGGTAGGTGGCCGGGACAGGGCCTGAAGCTCAGGGGCCAGTGGGCACGAGGGGTGATTGCTTGGACTGTGGCAGGTGATCTGATGCTACAGCACAGTGATGCGGTGAGGTCAACAGTGCATCCGCTTCGAGGAAAAGCAGCCCAAGGCCTCAGCGAGGCCAGGGGAGGCGATGCTGGGGGCCTGGCAGCCTGTGGCAGTGAGGAGAGTGCATTGTGTGCAGTGTTCCTGGCAGAGGGGACATCCTCTGACAACCAGACCACGTGCAGGCCCAGGACTTTGCTCCAGGGCCAGGAGCCTGGGAGGGTCTTGGCAGAGCTGAGCTCCTAACTTTCCTGACCTGGTCCCTTCCTGTTTCTCATTCTCCAGTCCCCATGACCCTGTCCTCACTGTGTGCCCTCCCTGCCTGCCCTGCGGACACCCTTCAGTGACCATGGCACATAGGTGTGAGGACCGGCCCACGGGAGCCAGCCATGCTTAGCTGCTTTCGGGTGGCCTCCCCCTTGCCTCTCCAATACCTCCTGGGGCTTGGGGCCTGGGATCACAGCCCCTTCCCCTGGGGACCCTGCAGTCCTCAGTTCATCTCCCTGTGCACGGAGGTCTCCAGCAGAGCATAGACCAGCATGAACTGTCCCCAGAGGGCCTAGTGGAGGGATGGCGCCTTACCTGGCCAGGTGAGCCCTGAGCTGCAAGAACAAGCACAGGTTGGGAGCCCTGGTGGGCACTTCCAGGAGCCTCCTATCCTTGGTGGGTCCGGGGGTCTGAGGGGCAGGCCTGCAGTGACCCAGAGCTGGGGCTCTGTGGGTGGGCCCTTAAGTGACCATAGGCTTTTCCCTGGCCTCTGTAGCTGCAGTTTCTGCCCTAGAGTTGGGATAATGATAATGCCCCCTCACTGGTTGGCTGAGAGTGACATGAGAAAATACTGACAAAATAAGTGCTGTATGAGTGTTTGCTAAATAAAAGAAACCAACTTTCTAAACCCCGGGTCATGCCTGTGATGCATGGGGTGTCGGTACTTAGGGACTAGCGACAGGCCCCACCTGGAGAGACACACCAAGACTATTACGCAAGCTGTGCTTTGTTCTGATCCTTCTAGGCGGTGCCCCCACCCCAGGGTCCCGGCAAGCCTGCTCCACCTCCCTCTGACTGCCCCTACACCTGGTCCCACTGGGCAGGGTGGGGTTCAGGAAGTCTATGTTTGCCTGTGGGGACCCCATCCTTGTTTGGCCACCCCCCCCACCCAGGTGATGGTAGTTCTGATTTTTTTTTTTTTTAGATTTTATTGGGGAATTGGGGGGATGGGAACAGCGCTGGAGAATCGGGGGAAGGGGAACAGACAAGTTGCTGTCCTTTTGTTCTTCAGTCTAGTTGTGGAGGACGTCGCTTCACTGGCCCATGTTGGTATTATCATTGCGCTCTTCCTGGGTGAGGCAGATCGGTCACTGGCCTCTGGACGGCCGCTCACAGCGGCTCTTGGCAGTTCACATCAGCTGCTGGCCGCTCTCGCTGGCTGCCGGCCACACACAGTAGCTTATGGCAGCCCACTGCAGCCTCACTGCAGCCTATGCCGTCGCCGGCAACTCACAGCAGCCCAGCTCCAGGTCGAGCTGTTGTTCACCATCTTAGCTGTAGAGGGCGCAGCGTTACTGGCCCATGTGGGATCGGAACCAGGGCCCTGCTGCTCAGAGCCGGTGTCCCAAGCCAGCTCTTAACCAACGCGCCACTCGGCCGGCTCATGGTAGTTCTGATTTAATTGAGCCATTTGGGTGGGAGACCTTGTTCCCACGCCAGCCCTGCCTCACTCTGGGAAGTGGGAAGGGGCGCTCCGTCGGCCCCAATTGCCCTGTGTGGCTTTGAAGCACTCCTCCTCCTCCCCAGCTGCCCACAGGGATCAAGGCAGGAATCTCCATTGTGACCAGGGGCCCAGGCTCCAGAGGTGGCAGCTGGAGCAGTGCAGTTCCCAACGTGGCCTGTCCTCCCTTACCTGGCCCCGGGAACCACAGTGCGGTCCTCCTGCCCGCTGCCCTCCCAGTCTCGGGAGCGCAGGGAAGGAGGACGGGGGCAGGCCAGCGTGCATGCCCAAAGCTGAGACTTAGTCTGTGCCCATGTTGGGACCAGCGGGGAGGGGCTGGCTTGGGACAACTCAGTGCCTCTGTGCTGCTTGCCCAGAGGTGGCCCTGGGTGTTCAGGACCCTGACTTCTGCCCCACCAGACCCCTTCCCTCTGAAGCCCTTTACGGCATCTGGTGCTGCTGGCCACCTCTGCTTCACCTTGTCCCAAGTTCCTGCACTCCCAACGTGTCCTGACCCCCTGGGCACATGGACTCTGCCTGCAGATCTGCCCAGGATTACACCTGCACGTGGGTTTCTGTGTCCAAAGCTGTTCAAAGTTGGTTGCTATAGGAGCTTATGGGTGTTAGGTGGGTTAGGGGTCTCCTCAGGGTCCCGTGCCACTGTTGGAGTTGCTGCTGCTGCCTACAGGAGCTCTGGGGGGCTGGGCCGGGGGCTTAGCTGCAGCTCTGCAGTTGGGGTACAGAATCTGGCTAGGACAGGCAGGGCCATGGCCTGTTCCACCCTAGCCATAGCTGTGGGGGCTGCTGGGATCCATGGGGGACGAGTCCCGTGGGCCGGCCGATGCGATGAGCTGCCATAGACGGTGGCTGAGGTTCTGTACCTGGCAGGTGCCGAGCACACAGCCAGCCCGCAGGAACGGGGCTCTGGGCCTGCGGGGGCCCAAGTGTCGGCGGGGGCCATTCCGGACAGGCCGATCCGTAGCAGTGGCCAGGCTGGCTCTCCCCTGTGGCTGGAGAGTCTGGCGTGGCTTCCAGACCACAGGCCAGGGTACAGGGAGCTGGGGCTGCAGGCCACTGGAAGGTGTCCTGGCTGGGGGCCCCCTGCAGAGGGGGATGGAGGAAGTGAACGAGATGACCCAGCCTTTCAGGGACCCCCAAGCCCACCCACTTTCTGCCTGGAGCACTGCCAGGGGAAGCCCCAGGTCTCTTTGGAGCTCAGGGCTTGGGTCCTGGCTACTCAGCCATCTCAGGATCCCGGGTCACATGTCCCATTCACCTGCGCCTGCCTGAGCAAAGGGCACCCCTGACCTCTGTGGTCACTACTCCCTCTCCTCTTCCCCTGGAGCTGGGGCAGGGGGAGGTGGGCAGGCCTGGGGACCACTCCAACCTCCCATTCCCTAGCTGACTTCTCCTGTGGAGGGGGGCAGTTCTGCCAGTGGGGTGGGGGAGGAGTGCTTAGGAAAGGAGGCAGAGAATGAGGGGCCTCTTTCACTGGTCAGGGTTTGTGGAAGGCATGGGGGCTGGCCCTCCATTCAGGCTGTAAGCCCTAGCAGCTGGTGGGGTGTCTTCCCCAGAGAGGGTGGGGAGGCCGGGGAGGTGTGGAGCAGAGGGGTCCTCCCCAGGCAATCTGGTTTCCCGAGGCTTCGAGCTTCGGCCAAGGGATGGGCTGATCTGAGCCCCACTCACCGGGGCAGAGCAAGCCGCCGGCTCCCGTCTTGGCGGCGGGACAGCGTGCCGGAGAGCGACAGGTAGAGGAGGCTGATGCAGCCAAGAGCGACCGCCAGGAGCCGGGCCATGGAGGCGGGCTGGACCCGGCGGCGAGCTGACAGGTGTGCGGGGGCGGCCCTGCCCTGGAGCCACGCTGCCGCAGCACGGCGGGGAGCCCTCCGAGTCGAGGCGGGCTGGTTGGCGTCCGACTCCTGCTTGAGACCGAGCCTCGTCACCTCCAGAGCTAAATAGTCTTCCCAGGAGGAGGCGGAGCCGGACGCGCCGCTGGGCGGGGCCCCCTTCCCCAGGCCCCCCCCCCCACTCAGCCCTCCCGCTGGGAGCGACGGCTGCAGAGGCCGCATGCTCCCCAGCCCTGCCTGCCCGCAGGGTAGCACTGTGGGTGCAGGAAAGGGGTGGCCGGATGGGCTGAACCTGACGGCGTGGGCAGAGGGACCCCCATCCCTCTGGGAAGTGCTGGGGGCTACCAGCTTTGCCTCCAGCGCCTTCTGGTGGGGGACACTTTCCCGGAGCCTGGTGGGCACCCAAGCTCCCAGGTAGAAGGACTGAGTGCTGGGGGCGGGGGCTGGTAGTGGGGTGCGGTGTGGAGGGGGTGTGCAGTCAGCAGGGCTGGGTCCCACCCACCACCTTTCGGTCCTAGGGGCGTCCACCCCCACAGTGGGCAGATGAGTGACCCTGGGGACCTGGCTAGCATCTCTGCTGGCTCTTCAGTGTCTCACAGAGGCCATTTCAAGACCCCTGAAGATCTGCCAGCAGCTGTATTCCTAAAAATCTCTACACTTTCCTCCCCGTTACCATAAATGGTTTTTATAGGAAATTTAACAACTAAAGACATCCCTGCATTGTCAACCACTGTGATTCCCCTACCCCATCCCTGATTTTCTCCTGTGAAACTAGTGCATTTTTTTTGGGGGGGGGCATCCTGGGTGTGCATATTACACACACATATGCATATATAACTAAAAATATATGTGAACATAGAGAACTCCCAACGTTCTTATGGTTGGCCCTGCTCTAATGTGTAGGTGTTCTGTGACTTACTTAATTGATCCTTTATTAACAAGCAATTAGGCAATTTCCAGAAGAAAAACCCTTCTGTTGTGAGCTCACAGATCTGTCTCTATAGGATATTTTCCTAGAAGTGGAAATTCTGGTTGAAGGTGAGCCCGTGTTTACGTAAACAGTCAGAGCAAATTGTTCCCCACCAAGCTTGTGCCAACCCACTGTCAACCATAATGGACCTGGTGTTAGTGGTTCTTTGCTTCTTTGTCCCTCTGAGAGAGGACAATGACCCCATTGCCCCCTTTCTTGGGTTATCTGAGCATCTCTGCGTCCGTGTGTATTTCCTCTTCTGCTTACCCTGCCCGGGTCTTGCTCTGTCTGTCGGGTTCATCATGGATGACCTGGTCACTCTTGGTCTCTCCTGCTGCACACACCACGAGAGCTCAATAAACATTTGCTGGATGAATAAACGCACAAGAGTTGAACATGTACACATGGAAAAGTTGGTGTACACCCTCAAAAGAGAGAAAGCATCAGCAGGCATTCCTGGTTGCACATGTTTGTTTATTTGGACCAACGTGGGGAGGAGGGAGAGTGACGTGATTCCATTTACATGAGAAAAGTTGAGTTCAGCAGGGAGGGGTTGCTGGGGGTCTGGCAGGAGGGGTGCTGCGTGAACAGAGTGGATGGATTAGAGAGAAACGCAGCCGGCCAGGGAGGCAGGTGAGCAGGGTCAGCCCGTCTGTTTGCTGATGCAGGCAGTCGCTGGAGAGAATGGAGAGGTTAGCTGTCTGGGGGACATCCTGACAGAGGCACCTGGCTGGCCTCCAGCCTCATGGACCTGGGGCTGACGAGAGGGCTGACAGGGAACACCGTTTGGGAGTTTGAGAGATGGCAAGGCTCTGGGAGGCGAGGGCTGTGTGAGCACTGGCCTATAGAGAGTGACAGAGAGGAAAGAACCAGCATGCCAGCTCTGTAGGAACAAGCATGGAAGATGGTGGGCAGAGGACCCGAGGGGCAACCAGATTCTGCAGCTGCTTCTCCCGTCGCCAGCCTCCCCACGCCTCACATCAATCTGTCTTCCACACTGCTGCCACTACCACCCTGCTCAAACACAAATGTGGTCACGTTACTCACCCAGCAGTGAAGAAAAACTGCATCGCAATTCCTGGGGGTCTAATCTTGGACAGGTGCACCTAGGTGAGCCTCCGTGAGCTTTGTGGCCCGTGGCTCCCTGCATTCTTCCTGTCAGAACACTTGCTGCCACCCAGGGGCCGAAGGTCCCACCTCCCAGAAAGCCCATGGACTTGGTGTCCATGGATTAGAGGCCCCTCTGTGAACCCACGGCCCCTGCACAGCACACAGCATGGCACTTGTCTATAACTGTTCACGTGCCCTCCGAGGACCCTTTGTTCACCCTCAGTTGGAGGAGTTGCTTCTGGGGAGTGGAGGGTGGGCTGCTGGGAGCGGCTCACCTATGGACATGTGCTAGAAGGGCAGCCCAGGGTCCCCTGCAGAGCTGGGCCTGGGTCACAGGAGGCGAGTGGTACTTGTGATGCTGGAGGAATGCTTTCTGGAAATTCAGGAAAAGCTAGGGTGGCAACTGGCTGGGCAGAGAGCTTCGAGGGCAGCTCAGCAGAGTGTTGGAAGGTGGAAGAGGTTGAGCTGAATCCTTATGGCAAAGATCCCTGAAGAAAGAAAGAGTGAGGGTGGGGGTCGAACAGCAGGAGGCAGGGAGCGGGGAGGGCAGCAGGGGCAGAGCCTCCACAGTGACTGTGAAAGGCAGAGGTGAGTGTGAGGAGGCGGGCCTGGGCTTTGGAGACGCGACACAGGCCTCCCATCTGATGGCTTCTGTCTTCTCTGAAGGAGGGGCAGGGGGTCATCTCTGAGACACAGGAGGTGGGGGCAGAGGGTTGCATGGACTGCAAAACGGAAGAGAGCTGACCAGACATCAGCAGTCTGGGCAGTGGGGGACATCCATCCAAGGCTGGGGCCATCGTGTCCTCTCTACACGATATGGTGCAAGGCAGGACTGTTTGCCAGATGGGGATAGTGAAAACCAAGTCAGAGAGGTAGGGACCGATGACATTGGTAAAATGACAGGCATGGGAGCCACACTGGGTGGGGTAAATGGCCTGAAGGAGGAAGCCTGGGGGCCGTGGATCCAGGGAGGGTTACTCCCTGAGAGAAGGCCTCGGGGAGCGTGGACACTGGGAGGCACGGTCCCTTGGCAGGGGAGGAGACAGTCAGGAGAGAGCACCCTTGAAAGTGACCTGGCAGTCAGTGGACAGGAAACTCGATGGCCAGGAATTTGGGTCATGTTCTGGAAGAAACCCCAAACCTCTCCCTGACCCTAAAGTGCCTCTGGGAGAGCTGCAGGAATGGGCTCCTTAGGGCATGGGGGGTGGGGGAGAGTCAGTCCTGGGCTCAGAGGCCAAGCTGGAGGACTTCCAAGGACACTGCCCACCCATGCACAAGCTCAATGGTATGGTAATGTGCTAAGGACACTTTTGGGTCTAAGTGACAGAAACCAAGTCAAGATGGGGGTGGGGGTGGGGGTGGAAAAGGAAGGGTTCTCAGCCTATGCACCCAGTACCCAACAGACGCAGAGGGTGCTGTAGCTGGGCCTGGGCCCCGGGGGCAGGGAGGGAAGCCTGGTTGGTCCTCTGGGTCTGGTTTCATTCATTCTCTCTGTTGGCTCCTGCAAGCGGACATGGATGCAACATGGATGTCAGAAGTTTGTTCCTTCTTAGGTTCCTGCAGCAGTCAAACTCATCTAAAAGCAAACCCAGTCCTGCTCCCCCTCCTTTCATGTCAGTGGGGCAGTCCTGAGGCTCCCCCGATCTTCCCAGCTCCTCTCCTAGGTGTCCTGTCTGAGGCTCTGTGTCTCCTTGCCGATCCCTGTGCCACAGCGCGGGAGGCCCTGGCCAGCGCCTGCCTTGAGGGTGGTGGGCACTGTCAGGGGTCCTGGGTGGTGCAGCCTTTTCCCAAGCACCGCAGCTGGACCTCTAGGCGCTTCTTGGCTTAAACACTGCTCTTTAGAGCTGGACATGCAGCGAGTCTTTTTAAAAGGACATATGTTGAATGGCTCATCCTTCCTAGATGGGGCTTCCAAGTGGGGCCCGAGCCCTTTTCAGGCTGGGAACCCCAAGGGAAGGGCCTGGGTACTGTCCACATCGCCAGGCTGGCAGCCCCTGAGGAGATGACCCCAGGCCCCTCCTCTGTGCCCCATTTGGGAGATCCGTGGGCAGTGCCGGGGGTGGGAGAACCTCGGGTCCCGAGCCCGTGTGAAGCCCCGGGTGCGAGGCCAGCTCCGACCCGGCTGCTCCTGCCGCTGACCCGCCAGAGCCGCCGTCGCTGTCACCGCGCGGGGGGCGGTGCCCAGGGCGGGAGCTGGAGCTGAAGGGCAGGGCCCCGCCCCCGGTGACCGAGCCCGCGCCGGCGGGACCAATGGGGGCGCGTCGCTCCGGGCCACGCCCACGGGGCGGGACGAGGCCGCGCAGGCGCACGGCGCGGCCGGGCGGGCCGGCTGGCTGGGAAGATGGCGGCGGGAACCCTGGCGGCCGCCGCGAAGCGGGCCCGGGGCGTCCGGGGTGCGCGGGCCAGGGCCGGGGCCGGGCCATGAGCGCGCCGCCCTCGCGTCCCGGAGCCGCGGACCCCGCCCGCGCCCCTCGCTATGGCGCGGCTCGCGGACTACTTCGTGCTGGTGGCGTTCGGGCCGCACCCGGGGGCCGGGGGCCGGGAAGGGTCAGCCGGGGCAGGCGCGCCGGGGCAGCCGCAGGGTCGTGCCGGGCGGGCAGGCCCAGGCCGCCGGGCCAGCGCGAGGGTCGTCGCGGGCACCTGCGGCGCCGGGGCCGAGCGTCCGGGGTCGGGAAGGGTCGGCCTGCCCGCCCGAGGTGAGCAAGGCGGAGAGACAGGGCGGCCGGAGCCTGCCCGCCACACTCACGGCAGAACCGGGTGAGGCAGCGCCTTGCGTCGCCCGGGAGGTGGGAGGCCTGGGGCGGTCGGCCCCCTGACTCCCAGTTGGGTGGGACGGGCTCTTTTCGCCTTGGCCGACTGCCGGGTGGCTCTGCCTCCGGGGACACGATCGTTGGCCTGCACGCCCCTCCTCTGACCCCCAGTGCCTCGGGTCTGAAGCCTCAGGCCCGCTGTGGGATGTCTTAGGTCCAGGAGGTTTGGTGGGATGCAGAAGAGGGGGTGGGGCTCGGGGACTACTTCCTGAAGAGATGGTGTTTGAGCTGGATCTGGAGGACTTCAGGAGGAAATGTGGGGAGGAGAGAGAAGCGCATTCCTGGCAGAGGGCCTGCTGTCCTCATGCCTGCAAGCCAAGCCCTGGGTGGGGGATCCGTGTGGTGACTGGTGCCGATGTCCTGGAGGTCCGTGTCTAGGGTCAGCGCCTGTGTCTGAGAGCCCTTCAGCCTGGGGGTAGGAGAAAACGGAGCCTGACGATGACATCAGCAACAGCCGTGGAGACAGCGGCTTGGGGAGCGTGCCCCATGTGCCAGGCCCTGCGCAGCCCTTTGTGTGCCTGATCTCACTTCTTTCTCCCAGCAGCCCGCCGAGCTTTCCTGGCGACTGCCCCCATCTGTAGCGCAGAGTCAGGGCAGGGAGGACAAGTGCCTGGTCTGTGCCCCCACAATGGGCTGGACTCGCACCCGTGCTACCCCAGAGCCAATCTGTGGGCAGTGCGTGTCACGGGGGTGGGGTGGGGATGGCTGTGGTCAGGCTGGGCTGAATTGTGAGCCTCTAAGTGGGGTCTCCCAAGCTGCCCTGCTTCTTGTCAGCCCAGACGTCACTGTCACCATCTAGGACTCGGGCAACTCTCCTCTTGGCCTCTCCTCGCTGAGCCCCCACCTGCTGGACCCTGCGCCTTCAGACCCTCTCACTGCCCTCCCATCAGTCCTTGCTGCTGCTCCCTGCTCCCATCTGTCTGAGAATGCATTCCCTGACACCCTCAGTCATGAGCGTGTCTTTCCCTCCAAGAGAGGGAGTTCTTGCAGGCAAGGACCCGTCTGCGCGTGGCAGGCGCACTGTCCGTGCTGTGCAGCCCCACAGAGGGAGAGCGTTTGCTCCAGGGCACGTGTGGGGGCAGTGAGGAGGCCGTGCTGCCTGGGGCAGAGGGGTGCCCAGGATCCGGGAGACAAGGCTGGCTGGGGGCTGGGTACTGGGGCAGGGGGTACGTGGGCACAGTGGGCACAGTGGGGATGCTGCTGCTGAGGGTGGTGTGGGGAGGGCCTGAGGACGCAGAGACCACAGGCAGAGGCCAGGTGGGGGCCGTGCTGACGGTGGTGGCAGCAGGAGTGGGGACCTGCGGGTGCGTGTGGACGAGGCAAGAGGAAGCACGGCTGGGCTCCATGCAGGCTGTGCCGTGTGCTCCCGGCCGGCGAGTGATTCCCAGGCTGCCGCCTGCCTTAGGGCTGGAGGGCCCTGCAGCCCCAGAACCACTGCTTCCAGCTGCCCACCAGCCACCTAGCCTCAGGGCCTTCCTGCGAGGAACCAGCCAGGGCTGGGACCCTGGCTGTGGGGCCAAGGGCAGAGCCAGCAGGTAGGGGAAGCGTGAAGCGGAAGCGTGCCACATGGGGTCAGAGGGCCCGGCCTTGCCGCTTGACAGCTCTGTGACCTTGGGCCAGTCTTCGTGTTCTCTGTACCTCAGTTTCCTCATCTGGAGATGGGATGAGTCACACAGACCTCCCAGGCTGCCATGAGCACGAGATGTACGGACACACGTGAAGCTCTTCACACGGGAGGCTCCAGGAAATGGTGGTGTCTTATTAATGGCCAGCAGCGGGTGTGGACACCCCTAGGCACAGATGGAATGGGCACCTCTGCGGGAGATGGAGGACCCCTGTGTGCTGGCAGGCCTTGGGCATCTGGGCATGGTGCAGGGTCTCTTGTGTTCGGAGAAGGGCAGAGTGATGGACGTCTTGTCCTTGGCCCAGAGCTGCTAGATGCAGGGCCTGAGAGCCAGTCCTGGAGTCCTGCCTGAGGGTGCATCCTGGTTTCCTGGTCACCACCTGGCAGACCTCTGCAGGCAGGAGGGAAGGAGGGAGGGGGCTGGGCGGGACTCCTTCTTTTATCTCATAGGTTACAGGCCCCTCCCTTAGGTAAGTGGGTTTAGCACCTTCTGCATCCTGGGCCCAGTCTGGGAACATCTTGGGGGCCGGACAGACCACCCCTGTCCAGCTCCTGTCCTGGGAGGGCCCTGACAGTGGTCAGCTGACTTAATCACGGCGTGGCCAATGCTGGGGTGTGTCTTTCGGAGCAGGAGACACACTTGACCTGAACAGGTGGCAGAGGCAGTGTCTATCAGGGAAGAGTGGCTGGACCCCTCCTGGTGCTGGGGGCACACACACACCCCAGCATCTGAGAAGAAGACTGACCTTCCATGCCATGACCTGGCCTCTTTTAGTCCTGACTGTGCTGAGCTGGCCGCATTCCTGGGCCCCATCTGCTCTCCCCACCCATGTTCCCGCCCTCCCTCTGGAGCAGGTCGGGGCTGTTTGGGACGGCCTCAGTTGGCTCCCAGCCCCCACCCTGGGAGCTAAAGGGTCCAAGGCCTTGGGTCAGGGCCAGTCTGGTCTTACTGGAGGCAGTTTGGGGAGTACCGCTGGATAGGCTGCAGCCCGTCTACATGTATCCTGCCGCAGTGGCTGGCTGGGGTGGCCTGTGTGTTGAGGTTTGGTGGGAGGGGCAGCAGGAAGGTACGTCCTTCCTTTGCTGGGCCAGTCCCAGGGTGTGTGCAGGGGCAGGTGGAGCAGGCTGCACCCTCCTTTGCCTCTGCCCACAGTGCAGGCCCTTCAGGCGCTGGGGCCTGGCGCTGGTGACAGGCGCTGCCAGCAGATGACAGAACGCGTGCTCTGTGTTTTCCCGCCCCTCGTTCAGGCCTGCAGCCCACACGGGGCTGGCTGTGGGGATGTGGCTTTGAAAGGAAGCTCTCGTCCCTGTCTGTGTCTCAGGGGACCTCAGTGCCCTTCCTCCTAGGCCCCCCCCAAAGAGTCCCACCCTGTGATGCATGGCTGTGCTGGTTGGATTGGTCCTGTCACTGTGGGGTTGGGGGCGCCCTCCCTCTTGTTTACCCCGAGGTGGGGGCAGCTCTGGTGGGGCAAGGAGCAGCCACAGGTCACCTTCATGGTCACAAGGGCTCAAGTGGGTAGGGGTAGGGGATACTGGCAGAGGTGGCAGAACCCACCCCCTGCCCCAGAATGCAGGCCGGCAGCCACCTGCTAGCACAGAGCTGAGGTGTGGGCTGGGGTCTCAGAGGAGGGTCGGGGAGAGACCAGGAGCCAGGGCCTCTGTATTGTGTGCCCTTCCAGGGAGGGCCTGCCATATCCTGGGGTGCCCTGGGGCTCTGGAGGCTGCTGTGCCCGCTGACTGGGGAAGCTGCTTGCTTGTGGGGTGAGCGGGGCTGGCTGTGTGTGTTCGGCAGGCCCTCATGAAGCCATGGTCTGTGCCAGGCACAGGTGTGTGATGGGCACCCAGACAGCTTCTTGCTCACGGAGCTCCGGTCTGGCCCAGCTGGCCAACAGGTGCACCAGAATCACAGGGGCGTGGCGGAGGGTGGTCGGTCCTGAGGTTCCACTGTGGGCCCCAGGCTCAGGCCGGGTGCATAGAGCTGCCCAGAGAAGTGCACACTCTTGGGGCTGAGACTTGAAGGTCAAGTTTGGGGCCATGATGGCCCAGAGAAGGTGCCGGTAGGGGGTCTCTCTCACTCGTCCTGTCCAGCCACCTGCCCCCTTAGGCCATTGAGACTCAAGGGAAGTCTCCTTGGTTCCTCTGAGAGTGGAGCCCTGCCAGTGGTAGTTGACACGTGGGGGTGGGCTGGGGAGGGTGGGTGGTGGACAGTGGCCAGCTGCTCATCCACTTTGCCTCTCTGGCTGGGCTTGAGAGGGGGACTTTGGGGCAGAGGCTGCTGTCTCCGTTCGCCACACCCCCAGTTCCTTCCCCGTCTGCTGCTTCGTGGCAAGAGCTGGGTGAGCCCTGGGTGCCAGCCAGGCCTGGGCCCAGATGGTGGTTTGGGGCTGCATACAAGTCAGCCCTCAGGGGAGAGGACGGGGAGGGGGGGGAGCCATGGCTCAGGGGGCGCCAGCCTGGGCCTGTCAAGGGTGGCCTTGGGGGTGGGCCTGGAGGGACCCCCGGGGGCTCTGTCTTGGTGGGCCGTGGGCATGTGTGTAGGTAGGTGTGGCGCCAGCAGACACCTGTTCCTCTCCCCCACCTCGCCTTGTCTGCCACCTCATCTCAGGGTATTGTGATGGGGGGGAGGGGAGCAGGAAGCTGAGGTTTTGTGAGTCAGAGTCATGGCCCCTTACCCGCCCCCCCTGCCACCTCCAGCCAGGCAGCAACCTGCCTGCTGCTGACCTTGACATTGGCTCCACATGGTGGAGGGTGGGTGGTCTCCTAGGAGTTCTGTCTGGGCCTCGGGGGTCCGTGTAGAGGCCTCATGCCGAGCGCCCTCCCCTGACTGCCTGCCCCGCTCTTCTGCTGCTGTGGGCCAGGTGGAGGGAGGGCAGGGGCCTGCGTGTCCTGTGTGTTGTGTGGGAGGTGAAGGTGGGGAGGCTCTTCTGTTTCCTGCTTCACTGCTGCCATGCTGGGTGGGAGCTGGAAGAAGAACAGAGACTGGTGTCGGTTCTCCAGGAGTCACGCGGGGCGTGTGGCCCCGGCACAGCCGGGTCATGCCTCCTGGTTTGGCTCTGTAGGGGGTGAGCAAGAGGCAGGGCCTCCAGCGGGCCCCACTGGTGTGCCTGGACCTGGGAGCTGTGCCCTGGGCATGGAGTGGAGCAAGCAGACCAGAGGCGGCTTAGTGGGCCCTGGGGCCCCAAGGAATGGAGGGGGTCTCTGGGGAATACGTTGGGAGCTAGCGGGCTGGGAGGCAGTGTGCCCAGGGGCGTGAGCAGCAACCTAGGCCTCCTGCCCCCCGGCCCTCCTCCCTGGCCCAGGGCCATGCTCAGCGTCCCTGTCTGTGGCTGTGTGCACGGGGCCTGCGTGGGCAGGGGCGGGCGTATGTGCCCCCCTCCTCCAAAGCTGCTAGATCCCCAGCGCTGAGGAGGACCCTCCTTTAGTAGGCGTCCTGAGACCAGGTCCTACCTTCCTACCAGCTGACACCCCTCTCTGGGACCCGTGCTGGGCCTGCCAGTCTGTGTGGCAGTGGGGACCAGCAGCCTTTGGGGCCATGGGCACGGTGCTCTTTCCTGGGCATGGACAACATGGGTGAGACCTCTTTGCCCCTCACATGAGCCAGGACTGACGGGTGAGGCAGAGGCAGGGAGCAGGGCTAGCTGAGCTGGTGGGTGCCAATGTCAAGGTGCTCACCACCTGACAGGCCAGGGGATCCTGGGGGCCGAGTGCCTAGGCTGGGGGTTGGCTGTGGAACAGTCTGGACCTACTCTCCCCTCTGGAGGGGCACGTGCTGTGCAGCTGGCTGGGGGTGGCGACACGGTGAGGGTGGGAGCCGGGCGTGCCCCCGGGCTGGGCGTCCATGCTCTTGGTGCCTGGTTCACCCGCCACAGGCTCGCAGGGACCCCAGCCCCACAGCAGGAGCTTCTCTCTGTGCCCTCTGGTGGCCCTGGGGTCTGCCGCTGCCTTGTGGCCTTTCCTCACAGGACTATTTTTAGGGAAATTATAGATCTGGAGCTGAGGCTGATCTGGTGCCAGATGAGGGCAGAGGTGGGGGACGTTTCCACTCTGGGGCCTCGAGGTTGCAATCGGAGACCCTCGCGGCTCCTGCCTTGGTGGGAGGTGGAAGGTGGGTGCCCTGACCACCTGCTCCTGTCCTCAGGGAGTGGGGAAGGCCAGGGCCAAATCCTGCAGCGCTTCCCAGAGAAGGACTGGGAGGACAACCCGTTCCCCCAGGGCATTGAGCTGGTGAGTAGGGAGCCCCGGGATGGGGCCAGACCAGCAGACCCTGGTCCCTGCTGGACTGGGAGGAGCCCTGTGGAGCTGCTGTGGAGGGTGGAGGGCGGGGGCGCTGGCTTGGCTGGTAGGGTGCTTGGTGCCCACATCATGTCATCCCTCCCTCCTGATGGTGGGGATCATGTCCTGCGTCACACTTCAGAGGCTTACTCCCTTTTATGGGGGGCGGGCTGAGGTCCAGGAGGTGAGGTGCACGCGGGTTGCAGAGTGAGGGCCCAGCGTCCAGGCCCTGGCTGGTCAGTGCTTCGTGGCGGGGCAGAGGAAACTGACGGCCGACCCCTCCCTCCTTCTCTCCCTCCCTACAGTTCTGCCAGCCCAGCGGGTGGCAGCTGTGTCCTGAGAGGAGCCCCCCGACCTTCTTTGTTGCTGTCCTCACCGACATCAACTCTGAGCGGCACTACTGTGCCTGCCTGACCTTCTGGGAGCCAGCGGAGCCCACACAGGTCAGCTGGGGGCTTCTGGGGTGCAGCCCAAATGGGGCTGAGCCTCTGGCCATGGCCGACTCCCTCTGCCTTTGTCCCTGGCTGTGTCTTCTTGCCTGTGGCTGGTCCTGGCGTCCCAACCCCACGGAGGCTGCAGTTCCCAGAAGGTCGGTCCCGTTGGGTTTGTGGGATGTGCCTGAGAGCCAGGCAAATGGGGCTTCTGTCCACAGGAAGGTGCGTGCACCGAGGGTGCACCAAGGGAAGAGGACGCAGACGAGGGAGGCCCAGTGCAACTGTCACCTGCCACAGCCGGCCCACCTGGCCAGCTGTTTGCTCCAAAGACGCTGGTGCTCGTGTCTCGGCTGGACCATGCGGAGGTGTTCAGGGTGAGGCAGGCAGCCAGGGCTGGAGGCGGTATGTGGTGCGCCCCCGCCAGCTGTGGTCCCTGTGGGGTGCACATTGCCGTCTGTGATCCTTACAGAACAGCCTGGGGCTCATCTACACCATCCACGTGGAGGGCCTGAATGTGGGCTTGGAGAACGTGGTCGGCAACCTGCTCACCTGCATCATCCCCCTGGCTGGGGGCTCGCAGGTGGGTCTGGGGGCAGTCGCTGTCCACCCGCAGCCGTGGGCCCTCTTGGGCCCGTGGCTGTGGGGGTGGGGCCTGGTGGGCCCTCGGAGTCCAGGCAGGGCTGAGCATGGCCCCAAGCCTTGGACACTGTGCTGCGTCTTGGTGCCGCCGTCACCTGTCACCTTTCCTTGGCCCTACCTGCTCGCCTGCGTGTCCTGTGTCTCTCCTGGCTCTCTACCTGGCACCTTTCAGTTCCTCTGTCCTCTTGCTCCTTGGGTGTGCCTGTCTCTGGATGTCGGTGTCTGCTCCTCCGTGCACGCCCCTGCGTGCGGGTGTGTCTAACTGTGTCTCTACCCGTCTGTCCTGTGCAGCTGGACTCTGTTGAGGACGGAGTGGTATGGATTCTTTGTTTCTCCTGCCCATCCAGGCCCCGTCCCCACCCCCGGTCAGAGGCCCTGGGTTTTCTCTGCAGCACTGCGTGGGCCCACAGAGGCCAGGCGTGGCCTTGCCCTCGTGCCATGCCGCCCGTCCCGGCCAGTCCCACCTCGGGGTCTGTCAGTCCTCCAGGCCACCTGAGGCCACGGAGTCTGGGCTGACATGGGTCTGGTCAGAGCCACTGACACTGGTCTGTCTCTTTCCACAGAGAACCATCTCTTTGGGGGCTGGTGACCGGCAGGTCATCCAGACCCCATTGACTGACTCCCTGCCCATCAGCCGCTGCAGCGTGGCCCTGCTCTTCCGCCAACTGGGTGAGCCCGGTGTCCCCAACCAGCACAGGTCTCCCTTGGCTCTCCCCCGGAGGCTGGTGCGCAGAGGTCCAGGTGGTCACTGTGCGTGGGGTGTGCTCTCCCTCAGGCATCGCCAACGTGCTGTCTTTGTTCTGCGCTGCACTCACAGAGCACAAGGTGCTCTTCCTGTCCCGGAGCTACCAGCGGCTCTCCGACGCCTGCCGGGGACTCCTGGCACTGCTGTTCCCCCTCAGATACAGGTGCCCCCCACCCGCCATGCCCCTCCACCCGCCCCACCCTCTGGGGCTCAGCCACTGAGTTCCTGCCTGTTGCAGCTTCACCTACGTGCCCATCCTGCCGGCGCAGCTCCTGGAGGTGCTCAGCACACCCACACCCTTCATCATCGGGGTCAACGCCGCCTTCCAGGCAGAGACCCAGGAGCTGGTGAGGGCCGCGTCGCTTCTGCCTCACTGCTGCAGGCCCTGCTCACTGCCTGCGGGTCCCTGACCACTTGCTGCCTTTGGTCCACAGCTTGATGTGATTGTCGCTGACCTTGATGGAGGGACAGTGACGGTCCCCGAGTGTGTACACATTCCAGCCCTGCCGGAGCCGCTGCACAGTCAAACACACAGTGTCCTCAGCATGGTGGGCAGGGCCAGGGGCCTTGGGGAGGCTGAGGCAGGGCCACCTGGCAGCTGGGGGCGCCCAGAGCCCAGGGCTGGTGTGCAGCTGACCCCCTGCTCTTTGCCACTGCAGGTCCTGGACCCGGAGCTGGAGTTGGCTGACCTCGCCTTCCCACCACCCACGGCATCCGCATCCTCCCTGAAGATGCAGGTGGGGCCACTGCAGCTTCGTGTAGGGGCCCAGCCCACCCTGTGCCTCTCCTTAGGTCTGCCAACGCTGGGGGTCGGCTGGCAGTGCTGGGCACACTGTGCGGCCACCCCTTCGGCTGTTACACGGGGCTGCGTGGGGGCGTGTGAGCTCAGGGCCCTGTGCAGGAGTCGCTGTTGGCGCTGAGTCTTGTGAATAGCTGTGCTGTGTGGAGGAGGGCGGAGAGCAGGGTGTAGACGGGCATTCTGGGTGGGCAGAGGGTGCACAGGGGCCTTGCAGGGCCTGGCACTCACCAGCACGCACCTGCACCCCAGGACAAGGAACTGCGTGCTGTTTTCCTGCGGCTCTTTGCTCAGCTCCTACAGGGCTACCGCTGGTGTCTGCACATGGTCCGCATCCACCCAGAGCCGGTCATCCGCTTTCACAAGGTGGGTGCCGGGTGGGATGGGGTGGGGTGGGGTGAGTAGGAGTGAATGCCCGAGGGCTGACCTGCTTGTGGACCCTAGGCAGCCTTCCTGGGCCAGCGAGGGCTGGTGGAGGATGATTTCCTGATGAAGGTGCTGGAAGGCATGGCCTTTGCAGGCTTCGTGTCAGAGCGTGGGGTCCCCTACCGCCCTACGGACCTGTTTGATGAGGTGCGCCCCCACCCCAGTTGGGAGGAGCTCCCCCCCCCACTTCCCTTCCTGGCCAGACGCCTGACCCTGCCTCCTCCCTCAGCTGGTGGCCCACGAGGTGGCACGGATGCGGGCGGATGAGAACCACCCCCAGCGTGTCCTGCGTCATGTCAAGGAGCTGGCGGAGCAGCTCTATAAGAATGTAGGGCCGGTGGCACAGGGGTGGGTGGTCACTGCCAGCTCGGGCTGCTCGCCCACACCTGCCTGTGTCCTGCAGGAGAACCCATACCCTGCTGTCACCATGCACAAGGTGCAGAGGCCAGGGGAGGCCAGCCACCTGCGGCGGGCACCCCGGCCATTCCCCAGGCTGGATGAGGGCACAGTGCAGTGGATCGTGGACCAGGCCACAGCCAAGATGCAGGGTGCACCCCCGGCTGTGAAGGCTGAGAGGAGGACCACTGTGCCCTCGGGGCCCCCCATGAGTGCGTAATAGGGAGGGGGGCCTGAGGAGGGACCGAGGTGGGAGTGAGGTCAGAGGTGAGTGCATTGTCTGCTCCCCAGCTGCCATCCTGGAGCGCAGCAGCGGGCTCCATGGCAACAGTGCTCGACGACTGGAGGTGGTTCGGAACTGTATCTCCTACGTGTTCGAGGGGAAGATGCTCGAGGCCAAGAAGGTGAGGACGCTGGGGCTCTGATGGGGGAGCCCCTGTGCTGGGTGGGGGCTCCGACCTGGGGCCTCCTGTTCGCCTGCGGACAGCTGTCGGGTGCTGGGCTGGCGGGAAGGGCAGCGGACGGCAGGTCTTAGCGTGGCTGGACAATGCCTGCTCCGGAGGCTCAGTGAGGGGGGTTCACTTCGACTGTTAGACTTCAGACCCCTAAGGGTTTCTACTGTTAAGTTTTTTTATCCTTCACGAATAAGTATGCACCCACACGTGTCAGTTTTTAAAATGCGGATGGAACATGGAAGCCAGTTGCATGCTGCTCTGCCCCTGTGGTACTCACTAGCGTCTGGGCCTCACAACAGCCTGTGCGCACCTGCCTCCTGTATCACAGCTGTGGGGTCCCCTGCGGGGTCCCCAGTTGTTTGACACTGAGCACAGGGCAGGCACGCGGCCCTGGCTCTGTCCCACCGACGCGGAGCCAGCAGGCTGTGTCACGCTTCTGCCTGCACACGCGGCCCAGCTGGACTCGGGGCCTGGGTCCTCCAGCCGGTGGGTGCACGCCTGCACACGCGCTTGTGAGCTCAGCACGCCCAAGCTTGCGTGAGTGGGGCCGGGTCCACTGAAGCCCCTGAGTCTGGGCAGCATAGGGTCTGTGCTGTGCTCACAGCCTGGGCTCCGGTCGCCCCATCTGGGCCTCTGTGCAAGGTCTTCCTGTGCCTCCCTGCTGCCCCTCCAGGGCAGGCTCATGCCCACCCCTCAGCCCTGTGCTCTTGCTCCCAGCTGCTCCCTGCAGTGCTGAGGGCCCTGAAGGGGCGCGCGGCCCGCCGCTGCCTCGCCCAGGAGCTACACCTTCACGTGCAGCAGAACCGGGCCGTGCTGGACCACCAGCAGTTTGACTTCGTCGTGCGCATGATGAACTGCTGTCTGCAGGTGCGGCCGCCGCCCCATGTATGCCAGGACCTGGTCCACGGCTGGGGGTTAGCGGGGGACAGCCCTCGCTGGGGGTGGGCGCAGGGTCTCCTGCCCTGAACCCCCGAGCAGCCCTGGGCAGCCACTGTGGAGGGGTGCCCACTGGGATGTGAGGGGCATGGGGCGAGGGTCCCCATGGCTGCTTCTACTGCAGGACTGCACCTCCCTGGACGAGCATGGCGTTGCAGCCGCTCTGCTGCCCCTGGTCACTGCCTTCTGCCGGGTGAGTGCTGGGTTGGCCTGGGTGCCCTGGCCACTTTGCGCGGCGCCCACTGACACCCTCCTGACCTCCACAGAAGCTGAGCCCGGGGGTGACGCAGTTTGCGTACAGCTGTGTACAGGAGCACGTGGTGTGGAGCACCCCCCAGTTCTGGGAGGCCATGTTCTACGGAGACGTGCAGACCCACATCCGGGCCCTCTACTTGGAGCCTGCCGAGGACCGAGACCCCACCCAGGTGTGCAGGGACCCCTGGAACCCGGGCAGTGGGTGCTGGCTAGTCCCTGGCTCACCCTCAGCACTGCAGCAGGTAGGGGAAGCACCTGCAGAGGACGAGCGCTCTGCCCTGGACGTGGCGTCGGAGCAGCGGCGCCTGTGGCCCACACTGAGCCGCGAGAAGCAGCAGGAGCTGGTGCAGAAGGAGGAGAGCACGGTGTTCAGCCAGGCCATCCACTACGCCAACCGCATGAGCTACCTGCTGCTGCCCCTGGACACTAGCAAGAGCCGTCTGCTGCGTGAGCGCGCAGGGTTGGGCGATCCCGAGAGCGCCAGCAACAGCCTGCTCACCAGCAGGTGGGGCGGGGCTCGGGTGGGCGGGGCCTGTGCCCACCGTGCCCCTCCTGGCCCAGCATGGCGGGCAGTGTGGCAGAGAGCTATGACACGGAAAGCGGCTTTGAGGACGCAGAGACTTGTGACGTGGCCGGTGCCGTGGTCCGCTTCATCAACCGCTTCGTGGACAAGGTCTGCACAGAGAGTGGGGTCACCAGCGACCACCTCAAGGGGCTGCATGTCATGGTGCCAGGTATGGGGGGTCTGGGTATGTAAGCACTCCCCTTAGGCAGTGGGCCTGGGGGCCCGGGGGTGAGTGCTGCTGTCCCGCAGACATCGTCCAGATGCACATCGAGACCCTGGAGGCCGTACACCGGGAGAGCAAGAGGCTGCCCCCCATCCAGAAGGTGAGCCGGGGGCCAGGTGGGGCTGTGGACACCAGGTCCCCAGTTGTGCCCTGAGGTGCCACTTTTGTGTCTGAGCAGCCCAAACTTCTGCGGCCACGCCTGCTGCCTGGCGAGGAGTGTGTGCTGGATGGCCTGCGTGTCTACCTGCTCCCTGATGGGCGTGAAGAAGGCGCCGGGGGCGGCGCGGGAGGCCCTGCACTGCTCCCAGCCGAGGGCGCTGTCTTCCTCACCACCTACCGGGTCATCTTCACGGGGATGCCCACCGACCCCCTGGGTAAGCCTTTGGACCGTCCCCCCCATATCTTTGGGGTAAGCAGGACTTACCCTGCCTCTCCCTTCCCCCTTCTCAGGGTTCAGGCTCTGGGACATAGGTCACTGTTTGCTTCTCCACCTGCCTGGGGCCCGTTAGCCCTGGGACCCTGAGATTGTGACCCTGTCCTCTCCCGTTCCCCCTGACTCTGTGCCTGGCCTATTATAAGTGGGCGAACAGGTGGTGGTCCGCTCCTTCCCGGTGGCCGCGCTGACCAAGGAGAAGCGCATCAGTGTCCAGACCCCTGTGGACCCGCTCCTGCAGGACGGGTTGCAGCTGCGCTCCTGCACATTCCAGGTCAGCCGGCAGTGTGGTGCGGGGTGGGCGCGCTGAGCAGGGCTTAGGGCGGGTCCCACGGCGGTGTGCAGGCATCTGAGTCCGGTTCTCATGAGTTGGTGTCAGCGGGTCACAGCGTGGCACTTGTCATTTCTGAGGTTACAGGGTCACTGTGCTTTAGTTTGGTGCCATCTGTCCATGGGACCTGCCGGCCTTCAGGGCTCTCCTGTTTCCTTTGCGGGGCCATGACCTTTGAGGCCGTGTCCAGAGCGTGCTGCGCAAGCCCAGCACAACCGAAAAGCACACAGGGTAGAAGGAAACGCGATTAGAGACTGTGTTCCTCAGCCTTACGGCAGCACTGGCAGCATGACGATTGTTGCCCAGTGCCCCCCCTCAGGAGGACGCACCCTGCCAGGCCCGGGGATACCCACAGCTCGGCAGAGAGGCAGGGTGGCCCTTGGCAGCCTTGCAGTGGGCCTGCCCGCCATCCCCCGGGGCTGTCAGGCCACTAGGTCTTGTACTTGTCTTACTGGCAGCCACAGGGGCCTCCTATAGGTTCACTGGCCTCCTTGGTCATGGCCAGGCCTGAGGGCCGCCCAGACCTATGAGGCCTTGTGTCTGCGCAGCTGCTGAAAATGGCCTTTGACGAGGAGGTGGGGTCCGACAGCGCTGAGCTCTTTCGCAAGCAGCTGCACAAACTGCGGTACCCGCCGGACATCAGGGGCACCTTCGCGTTCACCCTGGGCTCTGCCCACACCCCTGGCCGGCCACCCCGAGCCACCAAGGACAAGGGTCCCTCCCTCAGGTGTGGAGCTGGGCCCCAAGGCCGGGGATCCCGCCCCTCCCAGAATTGCTCTGTGCATGTCCCGCTCCCAGTCTGCTCACTGCTGACGCTGCACGCCACAGGACCCTGTCCCGGAACCTCGTGAAGAACGCCAAGAAGACCATCGGGCGGCAGTATGTCACTAGGAAGAAGTACCACCCCCCGAGCTGGGAGCACCGGGGCCAGCCACCACCAGAGGGCGAGGAGGACGCCATCTCAGGTGGGCGTGCGGGCAGCCCTGGGTGGTCGGGGTGAAGGGCGGCGTGCAGGGTGGGGCTTGGCGCTCGGGGGTGACGCTGTGCGCCTGGCCCGCCCCAGTGTCGGAGGAGCTGGAGCCCAGCACCCTGACCCCGTCCTCGGCCCTGAAGCCCTCGGACCGCATGACCATGAGCAGCCTGGTGGAGCGGGCGTGCTGCCGGGACTACCAGCGCCTGGGTCTGGGCACGCTGAGCAGCAGCCTGAGTCGCGCCAAGTCCGAGCCCTTCCGCATCTCCCCGGTCAACCGCATGTACGCCATCTGCCGCAGGTGAGCGGCTGGCCTCCAGGAGGCCTCAAGGCTGCGGCTGCGCTTGGCCCGTGGGCACGAGACAGAGCCACGGCGCGGCCTGTCACCCACGAGCTGCCTCGCTCTCACGCTCGCCTCTTCGCAGCTACCCGGGGCTGCTGATTGTCCCCCAGAGTGTCCAGGACAACGCCCTGCAGCGCGTGTCCCGCTGCTACCGCCAGAACCGCTTCCCCGTGGTCTGCTGGCGCAGCGGGCGCTCCAAGGCCGTGCTGCTGCGCTCCGGGGGCCTGCACAGCAAGGGTGTCGTTGGCCTCTTCAAGGCCCAGAACGCGCCTTCCCCAGGTACCCTCACCCCACCATCTTGTTCTCCCGCCTGCCCCTTGCCCACTCCCATCCCCCGCCCCTTCCGCTGCAGCTCTGCCCCTTCCCCCAGGCCAGTCCCAGGCGGACTCCAGCAGCCTGGAGCAGGAGAAGTACCTACAGGCGGTGGTCAGCTCCATGCCCCGCTATGCTGATGCGTCGGGGCGCAACACCCTCAGCGGCTTCTCCTCCGCCCATATGGGCAGCCACGGTGAGGGGCACTCAATGGCGGGAGGACTTTTGGGGTTGTGGTGACGTTTATGGAGGGCTGGCCAGCGAGGGGGCAGAATGTTTGGGGTATGGGACGAGGCGGAGGGCCCAGTGTGGGGCCAGGTAAGTGATCTGAGGCCCTACTCCGACCACCCTCTCCCATCCTGCTGAGCTCCCTGGCCTCCTGGTCTTCCCTGGACACAGCCTCAAAATCCCCATCTGGTCCCTGACCCTCCTTTGTCGTCGTCGTCCCGTCCCGTCCCCCCCACCGCAATATCCTCACCTCAATGTCGCCATGGCCCACTCCATCCAGTCTGTCTTACTGCTTGGTCTCTGTCCTCATCTGTCCTGCCGCCTTGGGTCTTGTCTGACTGGTCTCCCTGTCTCCACCGTGGGCACCCTGAATGCACTCTGGGCCCGCGGTCCCCAGATGGACCCATGCCCCCGCGGGACTCGCCCTTTCTCTGCCCACACCTGACCCTACCCATGATGCTGAACCTCCTGGTGGCCCTCTGTCCTGAACGGCGGGGTCTTGTCACTCTGGTTTGCAGAGGACGCACCAGTCCCCAGAGGTTGGGGCGTGGGGCCATCAGTGGACCTGCCCCATGGCACAGGGAAACTGGTGCAGGGTGGCTCCCAGATGTGCTCGGTGATGTGAGAGCATGTGCTGCTGTCCACAAGCGGGACATGGCCCCTATAGAGGGCGGTCTGGCCTCCTGGGGCAACAGGCAGGAAACCTGTTGGGGAGGTGAGCCGTGTGGGTGCTGGCTCTGGGAGAGGATCTCAGGCAGGAGGGGCGCCGACGAGGGCCTCATTCTATGAGGCAGGAAGGAGGGTCCTCTTCCGGGGGTCTCGCTCCAAGGCATTTACTTCTGTGTCCCACTTAACTCCACCTGATCCTATCGGCTACCACCAACCTCCCTATCTCTGCCTACCTTGTCTTACCCTGTCTCCCCATCCCCTCATCTACCCGTCTCCCCCATCTGACCCATGGCCCCCGTCTCCCCTATCTGACCCGTCTCCCCCATTTGACCCATGGCCCCCGTCTCCCCCATCTGACCCCATCTTTCCCCTCCCCTCACCCCGCTCTGTTGCCCTGCCTCTCCTCCTGGATGTTCTCGGATGCTCAGGCCCCACCTAGCTCATTTTCTTGGCCTGACTGATAGATGCTGGGCTCCTCCAGGGTTGGTCCTCAGGTTTAGAACTCCAGCCGCTGTCTAGCCCACATCCGTCCTTCGGGCCTGGTGTCCGGTGGGCGCTCTGCCTGTGCTGGGAGATCTCGTCTCCACACTGGAGGCGTGAGGTCTGGGAGGCTGCCCACTCTGGCCTGAGCCCATCCCCCCGCCCCCTGACCTGTACATCAGCAGATGTGGTGCAGCATTCACCTGGGAGGTGTGGTGGGTACGACTGATTTATACCATTCCTGGCACTGTCTTGGCTGTTAGGCTCAGAGTTGGTAGGTGTCACATGAGGGGCCACTTCTCTGTAAGCCTCCCACGCTCACCCTGGCTGGAGCAGGTGTCCTGTGGTCAGGCCTTCCTGGTTCCCTCCACCCCTGCCTTGTTGCCCATCTGCATTTTTCTCTGCTGTTGACGTACTGGGGTGCACAGGTGGTTTCAGGGGGCTGGTGGTACCATCCACGGGCCCACCCTCCAGAAGCCTGGGCGTTGACTCTTCCCACTCTGTCCACCCTGAGTCCTGTGAGCTGACGGCCCAAGTCTGCTGTGCTCCCTGCTGCCGAGTGCCCTCATGCTGGCCCCTGCCGCCCCTGCCTGCTCCACAGGGCCTGCCAGTGGCCACACCACCCCTTGTGTGGTAGGAGGGCCTTGCCCTCCCTAGTGAGACCTGAAGGTCCTGCACACCCACTCCTGCCCCCCATGGTGCTTCCTCCCATCTGAGCACACCGGCCTCTGTCCCTACCTGACCTGTAGGCACCAGCTCATGCCTCACCTGTGTCTGTGACCACTGGCTGGGCACTGGGGACAAGGGGGCTGGGAATAGGCAGCCAGGCTGCCCTGTGGCCGCCTGGGGATGCCCTCCCAGGACCACCAGCGTTGCTATCTGCTGTTCTCGGGGCACAGACCTTAAGCATTCCTGCTCTTTTAGAAATTCTGTGCTCTGGTTCGAGTGGCTTTTGGTTTTCTGAACATCAAAGTCCATTTTTAAGTATGATTTGCAGTTGTACTGTCTCTGCCATCTGCCCCCTAGGTTCTGAGGGACGCCTGCCAGCGGTGCCCTCCCCACTGCCTCCTTTCTCCCCCAGTGCCTGTGTCTCCCCCTGCTGCCTCTTGGGCATCTCTGACTGTCCCCAAAGCCCACTGTGCTACCTCCTGGTGTCCCCCGAGTTCAGGGCTCATCTCAGCTGTACACAGGTTCCACATCACAAGGACATGCTGTGTCCTCGCTGTGGGTGGTTGTGCCCCCTGCCCAGTGCCTGTAGGGGCTGGTGTTGTGCCTGCCTGTGGAGACTGCTGTGGCTGGCAGGGGCCAATGGCCCTGCTGTCCTCTGCAGAGGCAGGTGGGCCTGCGGCAGAGCTGGGCGCAGACTTTGGAGCCTGGAGACCACTGTGCAGCTGCCTCACGCTGTTCCCTGTGCCTCTGGCCAGGCCGCCCCAGCCCATGAGCCTCAGGCCTTACCTTCCCTGGCAGGTGGCTCCCTCAGTCTGGTGCTGGGGCTGGGCCGGCCTGTGTCCTTGACTGATCTGCTCTCCCTGGTTGTGGGCAGGGATCTCTGGAATTTGGGCCTCCCACCCTGCTGTGTGCTGGGCAGAGGCCTCTTGGTGGGCAGCTCGGAGCAGTGCCTGTGGGATCTGAGGGTCCTGGAGGAGTATTGCAGTGTTACGGCCTCTCCTGTGACGCTTCCTACCTGCCCCCAGCCCTCTGTTCCCTGGCCTGCTCCCGGGGCCCAGAGGGCTTTGTCTCTGACCCCTGCATCTGGCCCCTTTGGGCCATAGGCCCCCCACAGTGGGCACACACCCAGGCCTGGGACTAGGCCTGAGCCTTCTCTCTGCTGTGCCCCCAGTGCCCAGCCCCAGAGCCAGGGTTACCACGCTGTCTAACCCCATGGCGGCCTCGGCCTCCAGACGGACCGCACCCCGAGGTACCGTACCGGCCACGCAGGCTGGCTCCCCACACCTGCCACTAACGGCCCCGTGTGACAGACCAGCATAACCCTGCCCTTCCCACAGCCCTGGGCACTAACAGCCTGACACCCTGAGTCCTGCCCCAGCCCCCGACACTAATGCAGGCACAGGCCCTGCTGGCGTCCTGTCGACCCCCCCGCCCCCTTTGGGAGCTCAGCCCCAGGTAAGTGGTGTCCTGGCCCAGCTCTGGTGCTCACCTGGTTTCTCTGTGCAGGTAAATGGGGCAGTGTCCGAGTCAGTGGGCGCAGTGGTGTGCTCGGTGGCGATGTGGGCTCCCGGCTAGCAGGCAGAGACATGCTGGCTCCCCCCCAGGCCAATGGGGCCCCCCCTGACCCTGGCTTTCTGCGGCCTCAGCGTGCAGCTCTCTACATCATCGGGGACAAAGCCCAGCTCAAGGTGACTGGGGTGGGGACACGGGGCCAGGCAGGATCACGGGGCCTAGGCACGTCTCACCATTGCTTGTCTCCAGGGTGTGCGGCCAGACCCGCTCCAGCAGTGGGAGCTGGTGCCCATTGAGGTGTTTGAGGTGCGGCAGGTGAAGACCAGCTTCAAGAAGCTGCTGAAGGCGTGTGTCCCTGGCTGTCCTGCCACTGACCCTGGCCCAGCCTCCTTCCTGCGCTCGCTCGAGGACTCAGAGTGGCTGACCCAGGTCTCTGCACTGCCCCTGCCCCTGCCCCAGTGCGGCCGAGGGTCGCCCATCTAGTAGTGAGGAGATGGGGAGAGGCTGTCAGGGATGCCCCCAGGTGCTGGGCTCTCCACTCACCTGTTTTTGCGAGCAGATGGGGTCTTGGCTCCCTTGTCCGACGTGCCGGCCTTGGGAGGGTGTTACAGCCACTTCCCACCTGGGCGGTGCAGAGAGGCTGGGCCTGGTTTTGTCCACTGCTGTCCTGCGGGGTGGGGCTGGGCATCTAAGACATGGGCTGCCTGTGCAGTACTGGGAGGCTTGGGAGGGCAGTGGGAAGCAGTGGTCAGCTCGCCAGAGCAGACGGTGCCCACCTCGCAGACGGTCCTTGGGTGCAGAACCCACGTGGCTGGCACGCCTGTGGACGTGTGGGTCTGAGGGGCTGCTGGTCCCTGCAGATCCACAAGCTGCTGCAGGTGTCGGTGCTGGTGGTGGAGCTCCTGGACTCGGGCTCCTCTGTCCTGGTGAGCCTGGAGGACGGCTGGGACATCACCACCCAGGTGCGCAGTGGGCAGTGGGCCATGGGCCGGGTGGGCCCGGGTCTCCTGGGTGCCCTCCTGAGTGCTGGTGTGCTGGCAGGTGGTGTCGCTGGTGCAGCTGCTCTCAGACCCCTTCTACCGTACGCTGGAGGGCTTCCGCCTGCTGGTGGAGAAGGAGTGGCTGTCCTTCGGCCATCGCTTCAGCTACCGTGGGGCTCACACCCTGGCCGGGCAGAGCAGCGGCTTCACACCTGTCTTCCTGCAGTTCCTGGACTGTGTGCACCAGGTGAGCAGGTGGTCGTGGCAGAAGGCTGTGCCTGCTGGGTCGTGGCCCCTGACCCCTGACCCCTGACCCCATGCCCCACACAGGTCCACTTGCAGTTCCCCATGGAGTTTGAGTTCAGCCCCTTCTACCTCAAGTTTCTTGGCTACCACCATGTGTCCCGACGCTTCCGGACCTTCCTGCTGGACTCGGACTATGAGCGCATTGAGCTGGGTAAGGGCAGCTGGAGGGTGGGGGCGGGGCCGAGCCAGG